CTTTATTTATTGGCTTTAATTTTAAATTCACACTTATATTTATTGGATTTTTTTTTCTAATAACTTACTGCCTAATATGATAGACTATAATATCTATGTTTAAGTAAAGGTTCACAAGATTGTGATTTTACTTTTTGTTTATTTTTGGTGGAGGTGGTGGCTCAGGTGCTAAATGTAGTACGCTGTAGCAATCCGAGTTCGATCTACACGAGCACCAATAAAATTGTTGATTGCATTTTTAAGTACTGATTTACCGCGTTCTCAGGGGTCACGCAAAACATCTTGAAGAAACCCTCGAATCTAGGAAATAAAAAAAGAATATTTCGAAATGTTAAGTTTCCGAATGCGCACAGTGTGGCGGAATTTTTTCTGTTCATTTCTCAGAATTAGACCAAGTTTTAAATTTACTTTTATGTTTATTTATATTTTTTACATAGTTTTTGAAATAAAAAGTGTTGATAGGCTCAAAAGGAAAGTAGTTTTTAAAATAAGGTTTAAATGAAATAAAACAAAATGTTTTTTTAGTTTTTAATATTTTTTACACAATTCGTAGCATTCATAATGCCGACACATCTCTTCCTTCACAACGTCCCGTCAGCGTAATAGGTTTTACAATAGATTTATATATTTTGTTCAGACTACCGCGTTTAGTTTTCAATATTAATATAATATGTACTTTGTCAAAATCATACAATACAAATATATAATCAAATTTTTCCATGTATCGGTTGATTGTTCCGCTGAGGGACGCCTTATGTTCGTTAGTTTCTATATTTACAATAATTCCATGACTTTCAAACTCATTATGTATAATATACATATACATATAATAAAGAGAAAAATCAAAATAAAATTCTTCAATTAATACATTAATGCCTAACAGCTACTATTTAAGACTTTGCTCTTAATAAAATATATTACACGCCATGTAATTAACAATAATAATAATAATAATAGGGAAATATTAACAAAGACCAGCGTTCCAAAAGAAATAGTCGGTTTTTCCGACGAAACATTTTTTTTAATACTGAAACTTCACTGGAAACAAACGACTTCTATACAAAGGAAAGCGACTCAAATACAATTCGATGATATATTTACAAAGAGTAACAAAAATTTCTAAAGTGAATTCTAATGCGATACAGTTGTTTTTTTTTTGTTATGTAAAATTACATTATATTTATCGTCTATTGATATCATGGCAGAAAATTATTCATATATTAGTCATATGTAACAATTTTCAAAACATAATTGTTTGAAAATATACAGCACACAGTTACATTTTTATAACAGTGTATTAAAGATTTAATTAATAATAGTTCTAGGTATTTATAAATGGTAAAAAAAGAAAAAAAATTGTCATACGACATACATTTACATTATATTTGTAATTATTTAAAACGTAGGTATTATAAAATTGGAATATTTTATCAAGCTAAAAGATAGTTTATTTTTAAAAACAACCATATCGCATAAATTTGTTAAAGAAATATGATGTTTATTACACTAGTATAAAGCTTGATCTTGGATAACTCTTTACCGCTATTAATGTTATACCATAGCTAGATCAATTTTGACAATTTTTATAGCTCCCATTCGTATACATGGCTTAAGGCTTGTAATGCAAAGCATTACAGTTTTCTAAAAGTTACTGTGGAGGTAAAATATTTAGTACAGTATTATAATAAATATATTAATATTGACAAAACGTTGCGTTGGTCACTGTGTAAAAAATGAAGTAATATTGCAATGAATGAAAATACCATAATTTTGAAAAGAAAATGAAAGCACTCCACATAACCTTTAATATAATAGAGAAAAACGCGCCAAAACCACAGTAAAACAGACAACTGTCACAATTGTCCCGCACATTTGACAGCTTACATTTTACTTGGATTTGGCAGAGACATTATGAGAGCGGCCATTTTATTTCTTCAGAGGGTTTCACGTAAAAAAAACACACGGATAACAGCATAATCTAATGTATATTTAAAGCAAATTAAAGGTAACAGTGATAGAAAATAAGAGTAATATGAAACTAAACAATAATTACATATATTTATTGACACACTCCTGCCCTCTGCAAGGAAAACAGCCGCACTCACCACTAAAAGCGGATTTCAATTCGAGTTACAAAGCTCAATCGATTATCAGTCCAGAAAATCTCACAAATCTCGTTTAGTATACGTTTTATGACATTTAAAATGGCTACTAATAAAATAAAAATATTCTTTCTGTAGTCTTTACACTACGAGAAGTTTCAACATTCGATATCCAGTTAACGTACAAGGCAATCGATGTCAGGTATCGAGACAATATAGAGCTAAAAATCTCATTGACTTTAACATTGTAAAATATCATTTTTTTCATCGTATACATCGGTTACAAATTGTGCTACATTATTGAACACCAAGGCAAGGTGAAACCATGATATTCAAATTATCAATATCATCGTATTAATAAATATACAATATAATATATATAATTCAAAGATATGTATGTCAACCTGTAAAGCAAAATCACAAAACGGGCAATGAAATTAGGTTTCAAGAAATTGACGTTGAACTAGAAGTACATTTTGAGCTTAAAATCCAATAAACTAGTAGTAGGTAACAGATGTGAAGAAATCTAGAAGATGTGCTTTTTTTTAAAAAAAAACCTTTTGATGGTTGTTCCCACAGATCATAATGGCTGACGCATACGCCCAAGGTTCACCTATCTGATACTTTGAGGTATCACATTAGACAAATCTCTTTCCACAGATAATATTTGGATTTGCTATCTTAAACAGATAATTACGATGCTTAGTCGTCTGCGTTCGCCCACATTTACTGTTGATCAAATGAAGATGAAATCATACCAATAAATCCTATTACATACACAATTCCTTTACATAAAAAGTGTCCCACATATTCTTTGACCCCAGTACTTCCAGTGATAGTTACAACTTACAACTATTCAATTATTTATTTATATTTACGTAATAACAATACACAATTAGCTATAAATATTTATACGATAACTATCAAACCGTTTTATTGTTACATTCATCTTTGCTCCTATAGTCCCGTGTGATAAACCTCATTTTATTATATAGGTGATTGCACCGGTTTTTTATTATACAGCGTCCACAGTGTCACTCCCCGTAGATTTACATTTACATTAATTTAAACATTTAAGTTGACTTTAAATCTTAATTTAGGAGATCGTATACTGTTTCAATATTACAAAACGTATCGCATTATGTACATGTAGCATCGTTCTCCAGTTTGTTCGTATCACGTGTTGGCCTGCTTAGGTCTCAAGTCCGCAGAGGTCGGCCCCGGCTCGAGAGAGCTGAGGCCGGACGATGTTAGTGTTATTCATATCTGAAACAAGGAAAACCGAACGTTGGAAATATTAAATGTGTTATTTATAAAGATCAGATGGTATATTTTAAATTGTTTTAGATTTGGCTGTACGAAAACGCATTTTTTAGTAGATTTTTTTATAGAATACGGTGATAAACTAGCACACAGTCCACCTGATGGTAAGTGGTTGCTGTGGCCCATAGACATCTACATCTATCCTCGTTTGCGAATCAAAATGAAGGTGCATTGTCAGCCTTGAGGACTAAGATGGAATGCCTCTTTTCCAGTAAAAAGGGTCTCCGGTTCTCTACACTCACCATACGAAACAAAGCAGCATTAAGCTGCTATTTGACGCTGGTATTCTTTGAGAGCGTGGTCCTTCCCCGGTCGAGCCGACCCATTCGTGCTACAACTATACAATTAATATAGCTGCAGCATGACTCTACCACGTAAAATGAGAGATGAAATGGGTTATTTATAAAGATCAGATGTTGTATTTTAAATTGTATTAGATTTAGGCTGACCGAAAACGCATTCTTAGTGGATTTCAAAAAATGGAGATCTCAATTTGGGTGTATATTATTTTTATATGTATGTTACTCTATATCATCGTCAGTTGTGGACAAATGTAAATATTTTTTTATGAAAAAGATTAAAGGTACTTCAGGGATAGTCCTGTATAAATTTGGGGAAAATACTCCACCCGGAATATTGGAAAAATATGAGATATTTTTTTTATGTAACTATTTATTCGGTATTCGAGCTTTTGATATAACATGGTAAACTCCAAAGGTTCAAAAAAAAACTTTTTCAGAAATATAAAATTTATGTAACAAATACATTAAACACAAGTCTGTCGTTAGTTAAATGTGAAACACATAATATTCTGTGGTCAAAGTCGCAGAGAGTGGAGGTGGTCCTTAAAGAATTATAAAATGTTGCCAACAAAAAATATTTACTTAATTTTGTGTGATTTTAAATGTTAATGGTAAAAGTTATAGAGTGAAGGCAAAAAAGTGTTTACTTTACATTTTGTATATTATTATGTGTTTCAAAGTGCAGTCAAGAGTGAAATACAGCTTGATTAATATACAAAATGAATTACAGTCGAATTACGACCATTATTCGATCACAAATTACAATTGATTAAGCAAAATTTCTTTTATAGTATATGTGTTATAAATAAGCACACAGTCCACCTAATGGTAAACAAATACTGTGGCTGATAGATATCTACAGCTATCCTCAATTAAGAATTAAAATACAATTGCGTAATCACCCCTGAGGATTTATGTTAGATGGAATGCTTCGTTTTCAGTAAACGGAATCTCCAGTTCTCCACACTTACCATACGAAACAGTAGCATTGAGCTGCTATTTTACGCTGGTATTCTGTGAGGGCATGGTCTTACCCCGGTCGAGTTGACTCATTCATGTTACAACCATAATGTAATGTGCTGCAACGTAGCTCTACCGCGTAAATAAAAAAATAAAGTATTTATTTTAATTTATGTATTTTAACGTGCTAGCTTGATATATATACAAACCTAATTATTCTATGTATTCCGGTCGAATTTCGATCACTAAGAGACCTTTAGTGTATAATTAATTAAACAAAAATATACTTACATGTACAAGAGTGCTGTCTGCATTAGAGATGATGACCGTAATACTCGGCGGGATAATGCGCGTAGCCCTGATGGAAGGCGGGGTCCGTCGGCGGCCTGTGCATCATCTGCTGGCCGTCCATCATGTAGCCCATGGTTGCCTCGGGACTGTACGCACCACTGGGGCCCGCGTGCGGGAACACTGCCGGGTAGAACACTGATCGGTTAATTAGACCTGCTGTTGTTATCAGGATAAAGTGTCACAAGATATCTGGAGTGGACAGGATTGGAATAACAATGCGTTTATATCATTTTTATTACAGACAATGAAAGGTCCACTGCTGAATATAGGCCTCTCCCAAAGATTGCCTCATAGTTGCCTCGCTTGACGGATTGTTGTCAGGAAGTTTTTTTATAGGATAGGGTGACAAACGAGCACACAGTCTACCTGATGGTAAGTGGTTGCCGTGGCCTATAGACATCTATATCTATCCTCGATTACGAATCAAAATGCGATTGCGTTGTCACCTGTGAGGAACTAAGATGGAATGCCTCGTTTCCAGTAAAAAGGGTTTCCGGTTCTCTACACTCACCATACGAAACACAGCAGCATTAAGCTACTATTTTACGCTGGTATTCTGTGAGAGCGTGGTCCTTCCCCGGTCGAGCCGACCCGTTCGTGCTACAACTATACTAATAATATAACTGCAGCATGGCTCTATCACGTTTAGAATTATAAGCTTCGTCTAGTATTTATATCCAGATCTTTCACGGTATAGTATGTGTTAAGGTATTAAGGGCAAAATACATACATAAAGTACACAGCGCAAAAAATATTCAAAACCATTTTTTTAATATTTAATTTTAATAGTAATCAAATTTTATTAATAAATCATTATTTTAGTTCTAACGAAGATGACGGTGTGATTTGGCGAAGAATATTGAGTTAGAACAGTATAAAATACGGGTGGTATACCGGGTGGGTGTAAGGGAGTACACAGTTCAGCTGATGGTAAATTGATGCTGTAGCCCATATGCACCTGCATTTTTACTTGATTAAGAAAAATACACATGCTTTGTTACTAAGATGAAATGCCATGTCTCCAGTAAAAAGGCTTTCTGGTTCATTACACTCACCTTATAAAACGCATTAAGTTGCTATTTCACGCTGGTATTCAGTGAGTAATTCCCTCGTCAAGCCTAAACAATCGCGCTACAACCAAAATATAGATGCAGTATGGCTTTACCACGTATAAAGCAAGCAAGTTCAAAACTAAGAGCGATAAGATCGGTAAAATAACTTTTATTTTTTTTTTTTTAATTTAATAACTTTATGATCTGGCGTAAAGATTGTCTTAGTTTTAAATCTTTTAAATTGTGTTAGCACAATATTAATGTTGAACTCTAAACTTAGCTACTTGCAAATTTAATAGCACAAACTCAACTGCTTACAAACTTACTGAAAAATGCTATCGAAGATGGTAACTTGCCAAATAGTGAAGAAAAGATAACATATTCAAAGTTAATAAAAGAAATCGATAATTCAGTTATCGTACCATTATTGAAAAAGTTTCGAAAAAAAAGCTAGTCGGAGAATTGTCCCAACTCGCTATTGGAATCCGCTCAATTTTACCACAAAACTGTTATGCCTTCCGGTTGCAATATATTCCAGAGAATATCAATCGTAAACTAATGGTGTTCGTCCATTATAGACGCCGATTTCCGCCTTCGTCGTGGGGTCTTTATGGTGGCACGCGCCATTGCTCCAAGAGAGTTCGGAACAAACACGCTACCGATCTAATGTCTTGCTCTGAATGACTTTCCAAAAAAATACATTAGAAATTGTCAATACACGTTAGCGTATAGCTAGAACTTTTAATGTCAGCCAATATTCTTTTTACCATTTCTTTATTAACTCGCTTTCGTCTAAATCTCTTCGGGTCGAATTTAGTTATTAATTTTAAACTAACTTCGCCATGACCTAGAAACTTGAAATTTTTAACATAGCTGAGAATCGGAAGACAATGTAAAAATATGAAAAAAACGAAGTATTTAAAAAAAAAAAACAAACTTGAAAATTACGCGTTTAATAAATTGATGCGCATATCGTGTGTTGTAACAATTGCGCAAAATTTATTTACAATGAGTATTTAATAACACAAAAAAAAAAATATCACGAAAGTAACAATTGAATATTTTTATTTTTTTTTTTTTTCAAAAAACGTTATGCTCACAGTAGGATTTCCTTCTGTCCATAGAGGCAGTATACATACAAAAATTGTGCAAGGATATCAAGTGATGCTTTTTACAATTCCTTGGGGGAGGCCTACGTTCAACAGTGAACTTGTGAGGGGCTATAACGATGATGATGTTATTGAAACATTCAGGCCCGGAACAATTTTTTGTGGGTCAAACAAATTGTTTGTAGCTCTTTAGCGTCACAACTCAATGTGCCGTCAGAAGATAAAGTGTAACAAATGGAAGGAAGAAGAGGAGTTTAATTAAATGTTCAATTAAATGATACTAAAGTGAGTTTTTTTTATTTAGAACTTTTTATTTTAAACATTTTTCTTGAACCGCACATTGTTTTCGAAATAACCGCAAAAAAACTCAGATCAAAGTTATTTTCCGACAGTTCAACTACTTGTCCAAAGCAAAGATATTATAATATACTTGGTACCAAAGTAAGACCACTATGGAATAGTGTTCTTACTTTGGTACGAAGGTATGGAATTGATGGAAAACTTCAGAAACATGTATTGATTATTTGAGACTACCTATATGTATGTCAACCGGCATCCGTTTGAACAAGGAATTGCTATAGATCTACAGACTTTCTTTGTTTAAGTTTTACGCGGGCTTATTCGCGGACAAATACTACATAATTATAAAATGTGAAAAACTTACATATATTTTTTTACATAACGTAATAATTTTAAGGTTTAATGAAAAAGCCTTAGCTAATACATTATACCTTTTTCTATAAAAACAAAATTCATACGTAGAAAAGACACGAGTTAATTGATCGGTAGAATAGTCGATGACGCGTAGATCCCTGTTACTAGACTAGGAAGACAGGAAACAATAAAGGATCCCCCGGGATGCCGGCAGCGGCCCGCGTTACCAGGAAACTATGATTTAGTAGGCGGTAATCTTCACGAACGTCCTTGACGTTGTATTGTCAATGTATTGTGCAATACGACTCGAGGAGGCTGTAGTTCTAATCAACTTGTAGCCTATACGGACCTCAATACGGACGCTCTATCTGTCATTTATATGCTGTTAGTCATTGTTTAGTTAATTGATATTTATATTATAATACACATTTGATATATGAAGCAGTAATGTTATTGAAACCAGTTGAAACGTTGGAGATTATGTAAGAAATTCACTAATACTTGCGAATCTTTGTCATACTGGTCCTTTATTGATTTTTTAGCATGGCAGTATTAGCAGTCCGTAAAAAATCAATAAAGAACATGGCTTTTTTCAAATTCTGCATTACCTTTTACCGTCAGGTGGTATAGTAGTCAAACACTGGCTTTTCAAAGTAAAAAAAATGTAATACAATCTGATGATATCTGATATTTAGTTTAATAGTAAATGGTCAAGATACTTAGAAAACATGTTTGCCATACGAAGGATTATTTGTTACGCTCACGCCATAGTGGCCACGCTAGTAAGCGGTTAGGTAAACACAGTTTTTTAATATTATTGGGTTGTTATCAGGACGATGTTGCTGCTTAACTCCTAATTCACTTTACCTTTGTCGCCTCTTATAACACTCCCATGATTATACGTTGACGATTGGATGAAATATCGACGGATGCAGGTGCTCAAGACCTTGTTTTGTCGTAATCTATAGTCAATGTTCTGAAGTGAAGTATAATCACTAATGATGAATGAATAAGAGGAACAACAGGAATAGGAACATTTTGTTATAACTCCATACTAGTAAAGTAAGAAAATTCAAAACAAAACATGTAAAATTCATGTACAATCACAGTGTATTTTGATTTAATTTTCCATGTATGTTCTAAATTTAGTATTGTCCATTGTCTTAAGTACTAAGGCGACAGGCAGCTGGCAGCGGTGTACACTAAACATTCAGGACATAAAGCAAGGAGCGAGTTCTAAATTTCCCGAGCGGATGCATTCGCCGCCAAGTTTGCCGACGACGGAAAATGGAAAAACCGGAGGGTGGAAGGATAGATGGAAAATTGTTTTGGCAATCGGCTAAAGAAAATGGCCACCGCATTTCCTGTGGTCAAACAGAGAGCGCTTTTCCAATCGCTGAAGCTCCGGCGAGTTTTGTATTCCTCGTGAGTTCGTACTGCGTTTTGGTTAGTCGTCGTGAATTCCAAGTAAGTGCTTGAAAGTCGAACTCAGTTTGTTTTATTGATTTATGCCATTTAATTTAAACTGTTTGATAAGGTATTTTTTCCAATTTCTGTACAAAAATACATGAAAATTGTATAAAAAATAAGTTATATAAAACTGGACAGAAAAAATTATACCATTTTAGAGTAAAAGTATTTTATGGCAAGATTTTTGTTTGGATTTCGATAACTACCTTTCTTAATAAAATTCACTATGATCTTAATATTGACGCCATACATAATTGCGAGTATCCATACGGAATAGGGCTGTCATCGGTACATCGATACGGGTATTACGCGTTGTCGACAAACACGACGCTGTCAGTGGATCGACGCGCGCCATATATACGGATATATACGGATAACGCTGCGACGCTTGCTAATGAATTTATTATAAGGGCATAAATTGCATTGTGATGCGACACCATTACCGTCGGCCTGTAAATTACAATTCGTTCGATGGCAGCCGACCTGCGATATTTCCTACCGATCGTTTATTGAGCTTTTCGCGCGGATTAAAGCGTGTCGTGCTAGTGCAGTTTATTAAAAACTCGAACGCTCTCGGATATTCCTGTTTGGATAATTTTTACTGGTTTTAATTAAAACGTTTTATCTAACACCGTTCAATAGTTTGGATTTGTGAAATGGCCGAATATAGATTAATATAATTTTTTTAATTAATTCAATTGTTTCGTTTTTTTTGTTAACTGAATTGTTATTAAATTTGATTGTAAATGAAATCGATATATGTAGTACACTTATTGCATTTCTTTAAAAATAAACTGAATTCATTTTACGTACAGCTTTTGTTTTGCTTCGTATTGTAGTATATTATATGATTTGAACAAAGTGATATAAGTTAGTATGTATTATAAGATCTTTGTTAAGCTTTTATTAGTTTTAGTTTTCTGCACTTCAGTTATTATTAAATAATGCCACAATATGGCGAAAAATTGATGTACTGTAAATAGATAATAATATTGTAATAGTACTTTTTATTGTGAACTTTCATTTTTAATGACTTGGAGGGGTATCTCTATTTTTTAAACAAATAAATAGCTAAAAACATGCTGTATATCTGTATTAATTAAGTGATAGAGCTGCCCTGCAGTTATATTTTGGTTGCGGCACGGGTGAGGGTCAACTTGAAAAGAAAGAGTCCACTGTCTAACAGAATAACAGCGTAAAATGGATAAATCTTGCTGCGTTTCGTATATGGTTCATGCAAAAGTTTAGTTATTATTGTACTCAGGAATTCATTTATACAATGCGCATTAAGGTTTAAAAAATACAATATTCATCAAAAACATTGTATTTGCGCCCCGATACGGCGAGAAATCACTACAAACAAAAATTGAAAATTTACACGTAACGGTTACGGGTTACCCATACGTTCTTTAGATGATAATATGTAAACTCTGTACATAGTAATCATTTTGCAGTAGTTAGGTTATTATATCTTTATGTGAGTAAATAACTAAAAATCAAAGACAAAAGGAGAAGTAATACCCTTATAGGCGAATAACACATATCTAGATAGAGGAGGGCGATCGAAGGTGGCGGCGGAGGGGTAGAGTGATGGATCGCTCGGGACGGGTCAACGAATTCGGACATTATTCTTTTTTACCCTTCTTGCGTTCCGTTCGCAAGAGTAAGCCCTTTTTCTGCGACGTCCTTTTTTCCCCTCTCCCCGGACTGAATTTTTGTGTCCCGGGAGCGTTTTATGGACTGAGCGCAACAATTACAAAGTAAAAATGGAATTGGCCGTTTGTAATTCTACTACGCAGTGTTGACGGGAGAAATGGCAAGATCGATGGGCCGGATGTCAGCTGGAGTTTACATTATTGCTATATTGATAATTTAAGCCGGAGCTTATAATATTGCTATGTTGATAATTAACAAACTAGTTGCTTCAAATAAGATATTCTGCTGCAATATCCTACCACATAGGTGACGTTAAGATTAAAATTATTATTCATTTTTTTAAAGTCATAATCCTATTTAAGTATCAATGAAGTCCAAAATGTTAATATTTTAGTCAATAAAAGAATTATTAAATGATGGATTTACCAGAACAGATATCAGATATGTTAGATCTGGTTAAAAGAATAACTATTTTATAAGAAAGCATTCGGTGAAATTTCGTTAATAATCAAGTTATAAAAATGTTTTACATTTAAATTTGAAAGTGTAATGTGTAAAATATAGACAATTTTAAATGCCCCTTAACCCGAAATTTTCGTTCTAGAGGACAAATTTAAATTCAGGATTTAACGCTTAAGCCAAAAGTAATCCTGCAACAAAAGCATATTCCTCTGCAATTCTCTTTCTGATCCCATCATTATTCAAAACACAGCTGTGCCTCTTTGTCCAGGCCTGCACTAAAAGCTATGAAGTCGCAACTCTCCTGGGAGCAAGACTGCTCAGGTGCAACCCTGCATAATATATTAGGCAGTATGCGGTCAGCGCAACTTAATTTTGTACATCAAAGTCTCTCGGGCTGGTCGAGAATATCAAATGATGATAAGCATTTGGTGGACAAAGATGACGGTCAGTTTAAAGTTAAGTGTAAATCAAATAGATTTACGAATTGATTATTGAAACAGATTTCTATCTTTCAAAACATGACTGGTGACTTGTATTAAAATTAATAAAGAAACGAAAAGGTATTTGGTGACAGATGACCATCTAGATCTAATTTCACACGAGACTTACAAATAACATACTTATATTATTCATCATTACAGCATATCAAAAGTCCACTGCCGAACACGGGCCTCCCCCGTTGATTGTTGTGATTAATCAATTGTAGCATTAAATTTATAGTGAGAAAAGATACTCGTAGGTTTTAATTAATTCTATATAAAGTAGCAAATTAACTGTGGTAGAACCATGTTGCACCAAATCACGTCCGCACAAAATATTATCAGCGCGATACAGCAATACGAGTATAATGCCTCAGCGTTTCGTATGACGAGTGACGAGAACTTTTTTTGCTAATGCCGCACCCATCTTAATTTTCAGAGAATACTATGCATCTTAAGTCTTATATTTAACGGCTCTGTGGCGCAGTGCCTTAGCAATGAGTTACAGCGCTAAGGGCCGCGGGTTCGAATCCCGCACGAAACAAGTATTTGTATAGCCTACAATCAATTGTTCCGGGTCTTTTATTATTTGTTTGTCCTTGTGAAATTTATGTTTGTAAACTGCCCCCACGATACAGGAGAAAATTCTTGTGTGGAGGTAATGTTTTACTAAGACAAAAAGAAAAAAGATTTGTACGTGTATGTGTCCATGGGCCACAACATTTATAATATATCAGTTAGAATTTATGCTCGTTTTTCATTTTTACTTACATACATATTATTAAGAATGACCTAGACGTACATCATAAGAGATTAGGGGTAGTAAATCACAGTTAAATACTACTCATGGTGTAGAAGAGGTACTAAATAGAGTAGATGTCGTAATTATAATAATAATTTTGCAACTTTTAAACAGATGTATAAGAAATATGTTACCTGCTCTATTTGACTGGTCTATCATTGGTTGTACTATCCTACGTCTCGCGTTGATGAACCTGCAATTAAAAAAACATACGTTAGTGAGGTACACTTGTAACAACAAAATATGTGATATTCAAAGACGCTTTTCAAATATCATAAATTAAAATCGTGTGCAAAATAATGACCAACGTCTGCTTAGCTATATAATTACAAATATTAATTTATTTTGCTATTATACGTAATTACTAAATATTTTAATATTGTGAGTGCAAAGAAATATGATCGAAATACAATCTTCGACAAGAAAGAAGACAGAAAAACACTTCACTTGCTAGCAATAATCAGAAAACGAAAGCCAGCTGTTCTGTTATGGTTGTCGCTTGTCAAAAATACGAGATAATAATATTGTTTGTTGTTGTGTTTTTGCGCAGATATCCCCAGTCTGTACCACCAGTCTGTGTCCCGGCTCACATAATATGATAGACTATATTTCTAGATGTAAACGCGTTATTTGTCCATAGGATACATTAATTGGCACTCATTACTACAGTACAGTTACAGCACATAGTCAGAGACAAGAGGACAATCACAATTTAAAGTCTCTATAGATTAGTTCGAGGTTCAAATACATTTTCGTAAATAAAAGGAGTACTAGCAATACTGCCAACACTAATTTTCATAACGACAGTAGTTGATTGCCGAATTCGAACTTATAACTTTTAAGTTCCAGGTCCGCATACTGATCTATCAGATCAATGACGCTTTCAATTCATTTTTTTCAATTCAAGCCTTCTTACTTCATTTTATTTAATTTAATCGCAACTGTTGCCGGTTCTGTGATCAAAATTAATCTAGGCATGACTAAGACATTAATAAAGACTAAAACATAACTTAATTCCTACCCTAAGTAAAACATGCGCACATTTTTAGAGTAGGTGAGTATGAAAGTTTAATATCCATGCAATTACTTGCGATACGTGGCACGCTCACTGAATAAGTAAGACCTCGGGCGCGGCAGTGGTGCATTCCCAAATTAACTGTCAGAGCGAATCTTGCGCGGGCAATAGATATTCGCTGATTGTTTTGTGATTCGGTTTGGATTTCATATAATTCGCTATGTTTATACAAAACTCTTCGCATATTATAGAGTGGTAGAAGTTATCAAATGTCATTAACGGGTTATTATTATATAAGTTGAGTTATCGATATACAATCTGAATGTAATGTGTACATCACTATAGTTAAATTCAAAAACATATTTTGCCTTTATTATGTAAGATGTATTTTCCAGTAAAAATTCCAAAACATTCAACAATTTATCGATAAAAAATCCTCAAAATTTTCGATCGGTAAATTCAAAAGTCCAAAGTGTCCACTGGACCCTACAAAGGTTACGTATCCCTTGAAAGGGACGTAATTGCCACGAAACATGGCGTCGCGTCCGATGCGTCTAATGTATTGTTAATATCTAGATTAGTTCATTAACTCTTCATCCCGTCCCAGCAGCGGCGCACTCCGCAGGCCCTCTGGGAGAGGGGATGGAAAAACAGCCCCAACTTTCACTACACTTAGGGTGAATTTGCTAAATCGCCTTCGGTATTAATTTTGACAGCAATAATTGTTATTGCAGTGCCTTTAAAGCGACAATATGTCGCTAAAGTAATGAGATTGTACGCAATTAAATATTTTGTCAGTTTGTATGTGCGCGTAAAATGTAACTTATAGTTTTGTCTCATTCTAAGTTTGTAAATGATTTATTTTGTTAAAATAGCTGACCTCATTTTTAATTTAGTCGTATTATCGCCGTCCACTACCATCTCGAGACGGCGAGGCCGGCTCTGCTCTTCCTGACCGAGACGCAGGTGTCCTCTCCGGCTGATGTTTCGTATCTCTCCTACCCGGGGTACAAACTGGAACACTCCTTTGTGCCTCGGGCTGGAGTTTGCGTTTACGTCAGAGAGGACATCTGTTCTCGACGCCTCGGCAGACCTGAAGGTTCGGACCTGTCCATCCTTTGGCTACACAGCGTAGACAGCGACGACCATCCGCGCGTCTACGGGTGCATCTATAGGTCCCATAGCGGTAATGCCGAAACAGACCGACTCTTCGACCACGTCTTAATGGCTACAGATTCGTCGCTACAACAGATCCCCTCCGCAGAGATCGTGATCCTCGGCGACTTTAACGCCCATCACGCCGAATGGCTTGGTTCACGTTTAACCGATCGTGTGGGGAGATCTGTTCATGAGTTTACCTTGGCATATGGTCTGACACAACTGGTTACTTCGCCTATACGGATTCCAGATGTGGAGGATCATGCACCTTCCCTGTTGGACCTTCTGCTGACCTCTCACTCGGACGGATATCAGATTTCCGTCGAAGCCCCTTTAGGCTCCTCGGACCATTGTCTTGTCCAGAGTGTGGTGCCACTCACGCTGAAATCGCAATTGCATTCTGCAGTCTGCCGCCGTGTTTGGCACTATGGGTCAGCCGATTGGGATGGGATGCGGTCTATCCTACCCTTGGGGGCGGGTTTGCTTCTCGCCGGACGATCTCATCGTTGTTGCGGATTCTGTCGCTGATGTGGTACTTCAGGGTATGGAACTTTTTATTCCTTCCTCTGTGGTGCGCAGTGGAGGCAAATCTCAGCCATGGTTTGGTCGCTCCTGTAAAATAGCATCATGCTTTAAGCAGGAGTGCTACCGAGCATGGGCTGACGCATCAGCGTCCCGGGATGTAAACACCAGCGCAATAAAAAAGAAGTATAATTCCGCCTCTAGGTCCTTCAAAAGAGTCATTGCCAAGGCAAAGTCAGAGCACATAGGCAGAATTGGCGAGAAACTAGTTCGCCTTCCTGCAGGAACCCGTGCAGTCTGGTCTCTCGCCAAGGTTGTCCAGGGGAATTTCTGTCAGCCATCTCTTCCATCTCTGGACAGGGAGGACGACTCACTGGCCCATACCGCAAAGGAGAAAGCCGATCTTCTAGGCTCTTTCTTTGCGTCCAACTCGACTCTCGATGACGGGGGGGAATACGCCGCCGACCATCCCGCGGTGTGAGTGCTCCATGCCGGAAGTGCAGTTCACACAGTGCTCGGTTCGCAAAGCACTCCTCTCCCTGGACATCCACAAGTCGAGTGGGCCTGACGGAATCCCCCCAATTGTGCTGAGGACGTGTGCTCGAGAGTTGGCACCGGTTTTAACGCGTCTTTTCCGGTACTCCTACTCCCTAGACGTAGTCCCAAAATCATGGAAGACGGCTTTCGTCCACCCGATCCCTAATAAAGGCGACCGCTCAGACCCGTCCAACTACCGGCCTATCGCCATCACCTCCTTGTTCTCCAAAACAATGGAGTCTATTGTAAACTGCCAGCTAATGAGGTTCACCTTGAGGATCACCAGCTGATAAGTGACCGCCAATACGGTTTTCGCCGTGGTCGGTCAGCTGGTGATCTTCTGGTCTACCTAACTCATAGATGGGCGGAGGCAGTAGAGTCCAAGGGGGAGGCATTGGCCGTTAGTTTGGACATTGCGAAGGCCTTCGATCGGGTTTGGCACAAAGCGCTTCTTTCGAAGCTCCCTTCCTATGGGCTTCCCGAGAAATTGTGCGAATGGATCACCAGCTTTCTTGCAGATCGGAGCATCAAGGTCGTTGTAGACGGTGCAAGCTCCGATTGCAAGCCTATTAATGCTGGTGTTCCACAAGGCTGCGTGCTATCGCCAACGCTGTTTCTTCTGCATATCAATGATATGTTGCAAACCCGTAACATTCATTGCTATCCAGATGACTGGTGATGCTCTTTACACCGGCCGAGCCAATATTTCTCGGGAAAACGTCTCTGAGTGCCGGGACAAACTTGTGTCTGAAGTCGAGTCTTTGCTGAACAGGGTCACGGGTTGGGGGCGACTAAAACCACCAGAAGACACAAGTTTGCGCGTTAACCGCTAAAAAGAACCCCTTTGTCGTATCTCCTCAGTTTCAAGGCACTCCCCTTGTTGCTTCAGCCAGTATCAGAATCCTCGGCGTTGACATATCGAGTGACGTGCAGTTTCGTGGTCACTTGGAAGAGTAGGCCAAATTGGCCTCTAAAAAGCTTGGCGTGCTCAGCAGAGCGGGACAGTATTTCATGCCGGCACACCGCCTGTGACTTTACAAGGCGCAGGTTCGGCCGCACATGGAATACTGTTCCCATCTCTGGGCTGGGGCTCCCCAGTACCAGCTCCTTCCACTTGACCGCATCCAGCGCAGAGCGGCTCGAATCGTCGATGACCGAGTGCTTTTCGATCGGCTCGATTCACTGGCACTGCGAAGAGATGTTGCATCTCTTTGCATTTTATTTCGCATATACCATGAAGAGTGCTCTGAGGAATTGTTCGGATTAATCCCAGCCGCCAAATTTCGTGAACGCACTACGCGGCAAACGTCCCGATACCATCCACACCATCTGGATGCTTGGCGGTCCACCACAGTATGTTTCAAAAGGGGTTTTCTTCCGCGTACAACTTCTCTGTGGAATAGTTTACCACCGGCGATTTTTCCGGATCGATACGACCTGGGGACCTTCAAGAAAAGAGCTTACTCCTTTCTAAAGGGCCGGCAACGCACCCGCAATTCCCCTGGTGTTGCGGTTGATCATGGGCGGCGGTAGTCACTTAACATCAGGTGAGCCGCATGCTGTTTTGCCCCCTCTTCTATAAAAAAAATATTTCAGTTATACAAAGTGCTAGTAGTTCGTTTAAGCTGCATACTGTATACCACTTGGTACTGCCTCGTTGGTCTAGTGGTTGTAGTAGTGAGACTGCTGATCATGACGTCCTGGGTTTTAATCCTGGTTCGGGCCAAAAAAATCCATTATTGAGTTTTTCTGTCAAGAAATTCTCAGTAGCTGCCCGGAGTCAGCAAGTTGGCGGTGTCTCACCCCCGTGTCTCGGAAAGCACGTAAAGCCACTGATCATGTGCCTGATCTCTCTCCGGTCATGTCGGTTTATCGTCCCATCGGATTATAAGAGTGAGGGAATAGAGAGTGCACCTGTGCTCGCGCATACACTTGGGCATGCGCAAGCACAGCACATGGCA